ACTCCACTTTAGAGACTAAAGAACAAGAAGAAGAGATATTTGTTCCCAAAGAGACTGAAAGGGTTACATTCCCCAAGAGTAGAATATCTGGGATGTTCTTCTTTCTTAATATCACACAGAGTTCCTGATAATGCCTCTGAACTGGTGGAAGAGCACATATATATATATGCATATATATATATTTTCTCTTTAGTTTATATTTTCAAGTGGTAAAGAAAATTGAGGCCTAGGGAAGCTGGCTGCAGGGGGAGTTATTCTCTACTTAAAAGGCATTTTCTGTTTAAGTAAAAAAAATGCGGATTGTGGAGAAGTGGTATCCACTCTTCTAAAAATTCATTTTTATTTAAAAATACATTTTAAATTTGAATAAAATTCATTTTAAAATGACCAACTATGGTATGTTCCCTTTTTGATTCATCTTCAGTTTTACTTACATAAGTGATATCAAAAATAATATAGTATCCTTTTCAAAAATTAAAAAATAACTGATAATACTGATAAATTTTCACTATATGCCTATCTTGGTTTCTTCAATTCCTTCTCAACCACCCTACTCCCAAAATCATCTAAGGTAATCATCGTTACAAGTTTGGTGAATATTATTCCAGTATTCTTAAAGTAATTTTATTATAAAATATTTCCTCATGTGAGAAAATATTTCCCAATAAATGTTATTAAGATGAGAAAACCTTATTAAGATGAGAAAATAATGTCAGTCTATCGCAATGAACACTGTTATATGTTTTCTTTTTCAATTATCTGCAGGTTATCAAATTTACCATCATGTACCTTGTAACATCCTCAGTAACTCTGAATTCATTTCCCATCTCAGGAGTGGGAGAGTGTGCGTCACAACACAACTGTGATTACACCAGAAGAAGAGAGCTCTTCCCAAGAAGGATCATCCCGGAACCTCCCCCCAGGGCGCTGGGGTCCTCAGCCCTGCTTTTCAGACCTCACCCTGTCCTTCATTTCTGCAGACCTCAGAGTCTGACTGGCTGAGTTTTCTCTGACTGTCACTCAATCTCACAATCCTTCTCGTGCATGTTAGACTTTAACCCTAGGTGATTCATCATTGCACTATGTAAAGGTACAGCATCCAGAAATAGTCACAGTCCATAAAATAAAAACTGCAGGGTCATCAGAATGTGTCAGAAGATGGGAAATCCCTGTAAGAGTGAATTGGTGGCATGTTCTCTGGCTCTGCTTCTCACCCTCCAAGTCCACACATGACCTCCATCCACCACTGTCTACCACCAGGTCACAAGTGGCTCCCAGGAACACAGGAGCCAGGGATTAAAGGGCTATGTTTAAAGGTGACTAGGAAAGATGGTCAAAGACACTCAGCTATTAAGAGACAAAAGCAAGTTTGAGATAAGAGTTGACACAAATTAGTGTCCTGGTCAGGCAAGACCACAGCTCAAGACTGGACAGAGGAAATGACCCATGGCAGTTTGAAACCTACATGTGCAGATGTGAGAGCTGGACATGTACAGATGTGAGAGCTGGACAATAAAGGAGGCTGAGTGCCAAAGAACTGATGCTTTCAAATTGTGGTGCTAGAGAAGACTCTTAGAGGCCTTTGGACTGCAAAGAGATGAAACCAATCAGTCCCAAAGGAAATCAATCCTGAATATTCATTGGAAGGACTGATACTGAAGCTGAAGCTCCAATACTTTGGCTACCTGATACAGAGAGCTGATTCACTGGAAAAACCCTGATGCTGAGAAAGATTTAGGGCAGGAGGAGAAGGGGGCAACAGAGCATGAAATGGTTGGATGGCATCACCAACTCAATGAACATGATTCTGAGCAAACTCTGGGAGATGGTGGAGACAGAGGAGCCTGGTGTGCTACAGCCCATGGGGTCGCAAAGAGCTGGACACGACTGAACAACAACAAAAAGTCTTAGACCTACATCATTACTGGGAAAAAAAATGATCCATTTTTATAGAGATGAATCATCATGTACCTGAGGTGGATGCAAGTTACAAAGTTAAGCTTCAATATTTGGATTTCACACTCACTGTATAATCTTCTGATTATAATCTGGATGTCCATGCATGATTGCTTACAAGAAACATTGAGTTGAGTGAGTCTAAAGAGCTCTTAACTGAAAATGTATATATGTTTTTATATGTGTGCATATATGTATGTGTATAGATGTTTACATGTATATGTATATATTCAGTCTTTTTAGCTTGGTCAATGGAACTCATTACTAAGAGTGGGTAAATTTTCATGTGCCCACCTCAAGTTTCTGAGACTATAAATTAAGATCCAGATTCCAGATTGTGATAAATTTTCAAAAATAATTGGTCTTCTCACTGCTGTTTCTGGTCTAATGTATTTTATGACTGCTATCAGAAATAACTATAACCCTCCTGTGGAGACTTAGACCCACTTAAACAAACCCAGTAAGGAAAAGTGACATCAGGAAGGTATTAGTTTTGCACATCCACCCCCTCCCCCGCAAAGTCAGGGAAACAGCAGTTGTAATTTAAAAACAGTGTGGGACACCTGCTCTCCCAATAAACTATGCCAAGCCTCCTTTACTTCTAAAGAACACACGATCAAATTAATAAAATAAGATCAATAGCTGAGATCATTTAGGAAGTGAAAAATCCATAAATATGCATTGGTCAGTAATCAATCTTCAAACAAATCTTTTGAAATAATATTATTTCTATTTTTATTCTGCAAATAAAAATATTGGGGCATAGAACATTAAGAATCATATCCAAAATTTATAGCAAGCAAGAATAAGACAGTCAGAACTGGAAGCCTAATCTGCTTCTAAAACCAGTGTCCCTCACGGTCACACTGGAGGCCAGCGGAGAAGATCCCCTTGCAGGGGGCATCCCACTTGGGGGCCCTCGGAATGTCAGCACTGCTTTATCACTTAAACGATAAAATGAACTTGAAGAACTCTGCTTAACTTCCACAAATCACCACTGGAAGCACACTACTGAACAAAAATAAAGCCCGAATTAAAGTGAAGTCTCTGCGACTCCCTGCTCTCAGTATGTTGCGTGTTCCGTGGTCGCTCAGTCATGGCTGACTCTTTGCAACCTCATGGACTGTAGCCCGCCAGGCTCCTCTGTCCACAAATTATCACGAATCTCTGCCTCCTTCACCAACAAAGTGGCCTCCTCAATACTGTCTCTTTACAGACTGAGTTGTGGATTATGGTGCACTCAGGCAATGGCCTCGGGCCATGGATGTCAGCTTTGCAGACGTAGGGTTTTGACGCATCTCTTCTTATGGTCCTACATTTCCCTCAGATGCCAGGAGTAGGCTTCCTGCTACACTTGAGTTTGTCCGAGTGACTAGAGACGCTTAAGTCTATCCTTAACGTATTCTTCATTTCATGAACCACCTCCCTACATTCCGTTCTGACTCAGGTGCTCTTGGTAATAAAACCTCCTTCTACAGGTGAAGTAGCACGGCTTTACAGAAACAAGGAGCAAAGAGCAGCACTCGAGAACCAAGAAGGTTCTGAAAATCAAGGACAGCAGGTTGAGCGTCACCATTTACGCATCTCAAGTAGAGCTAGAGTCTAGATCACACTGCTTAAGCTGATGAAGTTGATGAAGTTGACTTTACATTTCTAATGAGACTACAATTTTATATCGCCACATAAAATCATGTTTCCATGATTACCAATCTCAGGATGAAACTGGAACTTACGAAAGCCTAGATCATAACACATGCCATTGTCTTTAGATTCTGGTTATACTCCAAATTAGCGGTCAAGAAGAAAATATGTATTTCCATTAAAAACTCCAGCATTAATTAAGCAATCACAATGTTTATATGTTTCCAGAACACATCAAGTTTGATTGCCACATATGAAATATCCATGACTTCTGTTAACAATCCAATATTAGCAAAGCATAATAAAAACCACAATCTAGTAATGTTTAAGGCTAACACATATGCCAGAGTTAATATCTCATTTATTTTATCATATTATTTGTCTATAGTATCATAATAAAAGTCATCATTAATCGCATATTAACTATTTAAAATATTTTAGTATTTGAACGGAGCATCACAGCCCTACTCTGATGTCACCTCTGTAATGTGGGATAGAAACTTGAACAAAGTTTACGTACACTCCAATTTAATTTACTGCCTGTTACAACCTAAGTAAAGCGATACACACCAACTTTAAAAAAAAATATGTAATTATAAGTAAATAATGTACTTTATGTAATTTGAGTCATCTTTCTATTTTTTAAAAAAATGACGTCATCAAATCTCAAATTGCTGCAGCCTGATATTGACACAGTTTAAAAATGTGATAACAATTTTCATTGTAACAAACGATAACTCATCATAAAGTAAGCCAGTCAACATCACAGGCCTTTTTTAATATTAACAGTTTAAAAGGAAAATTGACATAGAACGGATAATTATATAATAACAGATAATGTGTGGCAGGCCTTGCAAATGAGTACTGGGCTGCTAGGGGGCTCACTTTTCCTTTCATCACAACTCTTAGGGATTTGCATTTCTAAAAAACAGATTAGATGGCTTTATCCTAAGATCCATTTGCTTTAAAAATGATAATTTTCAGAACAAATGAATATTTTATTCAATTTCTCCAAAGATCATTTTGATGGATACATTTTGCAATATTGCAATTGCCTTTCAAGTTTATTGGGATTCAAAGTATAATTAGTTTCTCTATTACAGACTGCCTCTTGAATTACATGTTTCAGCGTAATGGAAGTCCAACTAATTAACTGTGTTGCTGATGACCATGTAAACCCCTGAGTCACTATGCTTTACCTCTAGAGTAGGCTAAATTTTAAGGAAAAATAATTTCCCTTTCAGAATTTACAATATGAAGAGAGAGAGAGCACTGTAGGTTTGGTTCCAAATAGAACTGGGAAACTTCGGAAATGATAAAGTTGTCTTACAGAAGTTCTTATACTATGATAGAAAGAGAACTAAGGAAGAAAGCAGAGACAGGGAAAACAAGCCCCCACTTACCAGGTGTGAAATTATACCGGGCTGAAAATCCCATGGATTCCAGCTCTCCATCAGCAAAAAATTTAATCCATAGAAATCTTCCACTGGATTTTATTACAGGTGGATTTTGTTGTCCACAAAAACGTCCAATTATTGGAGAAAATCCAAAAGGTCCATCTCGAACTTCAATATGATCAAACTTACACTCCCAAGATGGTTCAATAGAGTACTTTTCATCAAAGTAAAGCTCAATGCACTGTCTCGGGGCAGCTAAAAAAAAGGAAGAAAGATTATGTCTAAAAGGTCCTTTTTAAATCTGTAGTTTGACTTTTCCGATTCCACTTAAGATTTCATCTTGTATAATAACTTCTATCCAACTTTGACCGTGACATACATAGAAACATGAAGAGAGTTTGTTTCAGTTAGCAGTCTAAGGGATAAAATTTCTGTAAGAATGTCTAAGGAATGAGTCTTAAAACTGATGCGGTTGCCCCAAAAATTATTCTGGTATAAAAAGACCACTGCAATGTCTAACACAATAATCAAGTCACGGTATTTTTGTGAGAGGCTCCTAACTCAGGTTTAAGGAGTGGAGAGGCATCTTTCTGTTACTTCTCCTGTATCTTCAGGAGAAGCCAGTTTTAAGGTCAGACACCACTTGAGATCTGTTTTGTAGATCTTGAGTTCTACAACCATTCAAGTAGTCCCAATCAGATGCCTTGGTTAGAGCGAACTGTGTGCAGAGGAATATGAAGAGTAACTCTTCTAGAACACAGCCTTATCCTGTCATTCTCAGGGTTAAACTCATTCAGAGACCATCAGCTTAAGGAAACAATCAACACGATGACACACAGGTTTCTTCGAAGTCTCCTACAGCTCACTCCAGCAGGGTCTTTCTAGCTCACAAACAGCCCAAGCTCAGGCCATCCAGGCGTTCATGTTTTCTAAGACAGCATGCCCTTTCAAGCGTTCATGTGTTTTCCCACTTTTGGGACTACCTGTATACTTCCAATCCAACTCCTGTTTATGTGAGGAAATCTTGCTTAAAAAACAAACAATAACAACAAACAATCCACACACACCCAAAGAAAATACCTCTCTAAATCTAAATACACAAACTGTATCTGTCTACCTTCTTCCTTCGGGTTTCCCTCATAGCTCTGTTGGTAAAGAATCTGCCGGCAGTGCAGGAGACCCAGGTTCGATTCCTGGGTTGGTAGGATCCTCTGGAGAAGGAAATGGCACCCCACTCCAGTATTCTTGCCTGGAGAATCCCATGGACAGAGGAGCCTGGCAGACTACACACCATGGGGTCTCAAGAGTGGGACCCGACTTAGTGACTAAACCACCACCAACCACCTTCTTCCTTCAGCACTCAAACACAGTACTTGTCCTTGAGAATTTGTCAAAAAAAGAAAACTCTGTTGGGTGAATTGCAGCAAACGAGCTTGTCTTTATAAATGTGCTTACAGCTCTCATCACAGAAGAGCAAGATCAGGTGAGCAGCTCTGTAAACCTCTGCATGGATGCATCTGCTGAAGCCTCTCCTTTCTTGCCTTGTCATGGCCAAAACAGTTCAAAACTCCGGCATTCTAGACGGATACTCAGTCAGGGTACCCCCAGTATAGCCATTTCAGCAGCTGAGGTATCCAGACTTTTATCCTAGTTGGCAAACAGCTGTCTTGAGTCCTTTGAGTGCTTTCTAGCCTCCTGACTCTCTCCAAAGACCAACCCCTCCAGAAACGTGAAAGTTGAGACCTGGAGCAGGAGGGCCTGCTGCCTGTGTGATCAGCAATCATTCCGAATGACTACTGTTCCCTCCACAACAGTTCTTAAATATATATTGAATATCACACTTGAGTGGCTTTAAAACTAAAGCCTTCGGTATACACTTGCATTTAAAATTAAGGCATGGATATCAAAATGTATACAGAACTGAGATATATAATCACCTGAAAATTAGAGACTTCCTTTTATAGCCCAGATACTCCCTGGCTTTTCCTTCATAGTCCACATTGCCTTTCTCTTTACTCTGCCCTCCCTTGCATATTAATTTACACAAATCTATTCTATGTATTTCTTATCTCCTCTCTTTCCAGACCAATGCACATGCCGTGGACATCCCAAAGGAGGGAGATTATAATATAATAATATTTGCAGCTCCATCCAAGACCAATTAATCAGAAAATCTGGAGGCTGACCCAGGCATCTGTGTTTTTTAAGAGTTAAAATGCTATGAATGCCCTTTGGATAGTGGTATTCATATTAACAGTCTCAATAGCAATCTCTGTATTTATCACCTGTAAACATATATTTTCATGCCAGGACTATCCACTGAACTAAAGATCCACACATGCAATTTCTTCATGAGACATTCTCCATAAACATGAAATTGAAGACATGGCTTTCCCTTTAATGCCCCTTTCTCCACCCCTATTCCTTACCTGGCATAACAATTCATATAACATGTCACCAAGCCAGAACCCATAGAATAGTCCTAGGTTGGCCTACTCTCCCCTCCCTATATCCAGTCACTCAAGATTCAGTTTCCCAAATACCTTTCATTGTTTATTGTTTTCCCATCAATGTCACTTCTGTTTCCCTGTGGTTTACCTGGTCTTTCACAACAGTTTCTTCTTTCAGTTCTTTTTTCCCAGTTACTTCATCAAAACCTCAGCTTACTATTTCTCTCCTGATATTATTTCAGTGGCACCCCATTGTCTACAATATCAAGTCCAAACTGGCCTGGGTGGCAGACAGATACCAAGTTCTCCTTTATCTGAGACCACGTGCATTCCAGCCTCCTCACTTGTCCCTGTCCTCACCCTCTGCAAAAGCCCTCTAGATGTGGTTAATCACCCACACCGTATCTCTGAATCTCTGCACATGCTATTTTACACAGAGAATGACTGTGTCCTGAATGGTCTTTAAAACCAAACACAAGCATCTCTTTCTCCTTATAGCTTTGTCTTTCTCCCTGTTCCAAACACTGCTCATCTCAGAGCCACTTTAGACTGTTTACTGGAAAAGAGCATAGTCCCCAGACCACATTGTAGGTTCCATAAGGCAAGTACCATGTCAATTTTGTTCAATACTCTCTAAACTGTACTAACAAGAGTGGTTCAGTAAATATTTGTGAAATGTATGAATGAAAAAAGGGCTAGTATGAAGTATTTCAAGAAGAGTTCACAGTGATAGGAGGTTCTCTTTATTTCCCAACTTCAAGTTTTGTCCTTGACATGAAAGACTTACCAGATTAACATGTGCCTTGCTTATAAGTAAATAGTGACCATAAATACCTTTTATGGTTAACTCTGGTAAGGTAATTGTGTGTGTGTGTGTGTGTGTGTGTGTGTGTGTGTTGTAGGGGGTGCACAGGTGTTCGGGAAGTTTCAAGTTTGGGGCCATTAGGTACTAACACATAATATTGAAAACTTCTATCACTAAATGAAATGTTCATATATTAAAAAAATTTTTCCTTAATAGAGAGGTGTCTACAAGGGTAATGGAAATGGAAAATGTTCAAAGAGAAGTGAATCCCTTTTTCAGCACTTTTTATCCTGCAAGCTGGGAAAAAATTAATGAAAAGAAGCATCATCATTTGGAATGCTGACTTTGGCATAAAAGTATGAAAATGTCACTTCTGAGCACAAACTAAGGCTCAGAGTAATATTCAGATTGATGTTTGGAAAATATGATCATGAATTTAAAAAAAATTAATTGGAGGATAATTGCTTTACAATGTTGTGTTCTGCCTTACAACAATGCAAATCAACCATAGGTATACATATATCTCCTCTCTCTTGACCCTCCCTCCCACCCTCCATGATTACATTTATTTCTGACATGAATACGTTTTGGGTACTTCATATTATTTAAGAGAAAAATAACAAAAGAATAGATTTTCTACTAATTATTTAACCAATAAAAGATGAGCTACCAAAATTGTTACACAGTCGGTAATATTATGCCAATTATACATCCATTCCATTAATTTAGAACTCTACATCAATGAAATCAACAGCAAAATAAACTAAGTTGTTGATTTCTTTTTATTTTCCAGAATTTACCTGCTTATAAGTCTTTACTAATCATTTCAGTAATTAGCTCGATCCCACATTTGACAGTTGCTGGATTCACTCAGAGACATTTTTTGTGTAGCGTGTCCAGAACCAATTTTTGTAATGTCTCTATGTATATTGGGCTTCCCCAGTGGCTAAGTGGTAAAGAATCCTGCCTGCCAATACAGGAGACACAGGTTCGATCCCTAGACGTGTGAAGATCCCCTAGAGGAGGAAATGGCAGCCCACCCCAGGATTCTTGCCTGGGAAATCCCATGGACAGAGGGGCCCAGTGGGCTACAGTCCATGAGGTTGCCAAGATTCGGACACAACTTAGCAACTAAACAACAACAACAAAGCCTTTACTAATCATTTCAATAATTAGCTTGATTCCAGAGTTTATGGCTATTGGCTTCACTCAGAGATATTTACATGTGCGGTCTCCAGAAGCAATCACTGTAATGTCTATATGCACATTGTCCATCCCAAGCTCAGGGACGGCCAGCCGACTTGGCTCCCTCACCTTCTATGATGTAGATGCATTCCCGGTCAGGGGGGTACTTGCTAGGATAGTTCGGAGAAGTGAAGATACCTCCCTCTGCATGTTTTGTCCAAGTTCCACACTGCACAGACTTCTGTGTTTCTGAGGTGGTTTGCTTTTCTGCAAAATAAAATTTTTTAAAGCCCCATTATCCAATTTTCTATACAACTAAAAATAGAGAGGACATTCTTACAATATCCATTAGTAAATTAACTTCTAAATGCTGTCTTAGTCAAAACCAATCAATTATACACACTATAAAATGCTCAGATATTCTGGAATATTAAGAATACGGAGAATACAGGAAAATGCAAGTGAGCAGAGGCCTCCCACTTGAATTTTTCCAAAGAAACACACCTGTTCCTTTCTTGGTTGCTCCAGACAAATGGAGGATGATTAAACTTGCTACAACTGAAACAAAACAGAAAAATTGGGAAGATTAATGTACACTGAAATGACCAAATTCTATTAATATAACAGTTTAAACATAAAATGATATCAGAGAGGATTATTACTGTCAACCCCTCTCAGATAACTAAGAACTTGCAAAAACTGATTCAAAATGTACACATCAGAACAATTTAGGAATCTCCTCAGGGAGTAAAGCCAGTTAAGAATGGTTGAGACTCAAGCTCCTAAGGCAAATTCAGACTTTGAGACTAAGAGTCAACATTGTCACCTACTAAGTCACATCACAGTGGGCTTTCAGGAGTGTGGCCTGGCTGCCCCTTGTAAATGACTTTGCCAGCTTCTCACAAAGACAGAGGGTCAGGAGGTCAAAGGATGAAAAAAAAAAAGTATTTTCATCAACAATGTTACTGTATTTTAGGAAACAAATATTTCACCAAATCCTATGGCAGGTGGGGGAGCGGAACAAGGGAAGAACAGCCTAATGTGGACTAAAGGCATGAGCACCATAATAAAAATGATTCTTTTACAAAACTGACCTACCAAGTAACCCCAGTCCTCAGCATGCTTAGGCTGGGAAATGAATCTCTCCTAACCTTAACTTTGACGCAATCGTTTGTATTATCCAGGAATATTTTATAATTTTGAAAAAGGTCTTTTCTATAAACATTTTATTAAGGCAGATATTCAGTATCAGAAAAAGACTCTGATCTAAAACTTAACAGTAAATCTATAAAGACCATTAAAACGCATCTTGTTTTACCTCCACATCCTTGACTTACTTAATATTTTGACAAAGTCTAAAACTGAGAGAAGTATTAAAGTAATCTAGTCTTCATAATTTCTGATTTTGCCTTCTGTATTTCTCTTCTATCATTTATTTTCCTGTCAATTATCTACAAGCTCTCAGTTTCATTAGGTGTATAATCATAAGTCCACTTAAAATGCTTTTAGATAAGGGCAGGTATAATCCACAATGACTTCCTAAACGAAAGTTCAGGACAGGATCTTAAAAATGCATCCATGAAGACTGCTCCAGGAAAAGTATATGTGAGCCCTGACATTAGTGTTTGAGAAAGGATGTCAATTATTTTACTTGTACTCTAACCTGGTCTTCTGCTTTTAGATTAAAACACTGGTTGTTACGGTCTGTGTTCAGGTAGAAAAAAAGTCTTACTTTTAACTTGCCATGTCCACGCACACACACACGTTTACAGCCGCCAGCACCAAGCTGCTGGTTTGGGGTTCCTACTGGGATGGAACCGCACTGTGGAATGTGTCCTGTGATGAACACGGCAGCAACAACGCCGGTCTCCTGACTGCGCGGCCCGGGCAGCCTCACCCTCCCTCTGTCCTGTGAGATTCCCACCAAGGCTCTTATCCTGCCTTGTACTCGATGACTTCTGACGCTATTTGCCTCCAGTCCCCCGCCCTCCCCTGAACCGCACGCGAACCGCACACTCGCGAAGCGACACTCGAGGTCTGTCCACACTCTCCGGAAGAGTTGAGCCTGGCACTCGCGCCACCCTCGAGCGTGGCGTTCAGGAGGCTCACACACTACCCACCGGAGGGGCGACAAGGGCCCGCTGGGCTCCAGAAGCCCCTGAAAGGACCGTTCCTTCTCCTCCCCGAAGCTGTCGGACCCGCTCTCTCCCCCCTTCCACTTGCGACCTCCGTGGGACCCGCTCCCCGTCCTCTGCCGCACGTGCGCGTCCCCACCGGGCGCTCGGCACCCTCCACCCCCCGACGCCCCGGCGCACGGCAGGGCTGTTTTTCTCGGCCAACTCTCAGCTCCAGGGACCACCGCCGCGCGCCGCCCCCACGCCGGGTCGATGCTGCAATACAGAAAGTTTACATCTGCCCCAGACTCGCGGGGACTGCGGGGTCCGGCGAGGGCGCGGCGGGGGCCAGGTTCCCCCTGCGCGCTCGGCCACGGGGGGAGGGAGGCGGGGAGGAGGGTCCCCGGGGCGGCCCGGCGCGGCGGGAAGAGGTACTCACTGTGAAACAAACTGCGTCCATAGATCATGTCTGTTCCTTACACCAGAGGCTCCAGGCTCCACTAATTCCATTTAGAGACGGGAAGACTTCCAGTGGTCAGGGAGAGGACGGAGTCGAGAGAGGGTTTAGAGGTGCAAACCGGGAACAGATGAAGAGCGGAGGGAGAGAGCGGGGGAAGCCGGCGATCCGAGCCCACACAGCAGCAAGATCCGAGTCCGCGCGTCCTCCGCCCCGGGCTCGCGCTCGCACCCGCTCGCTCTCTCACCGCCGCGAAGCCGGCAGCATCCCGGCCGTGACGCTCGCCTCACGCCCGGGCGCCGGGCGCCTCCATCCGCGCCGCCGGCGGCTGCTCCCGCCCCCTCTGCATCACCGCCGCCGCCGCCGCGGCTGGCAGGAGGGCGCGCGGGCGGCGGCGGGCGCGGGGCGAGCCCTGGGGCGCTCCAGCCGGGGCCAGGCAGGGGCTGGGGCCGAGCGGCGCGGCGAGGCGGGGGCCGGTCCCGACCGACGGCAGCGACGGAGCGCGCGGCGGCGGCGGCGGCGGCGGCGGGGGCTCGCTCAGTCCCCGGTTTCATACACCACGAGCAGCAGGTCGGAGCAGCCCTCCTCGGTCCAGCCTTTGGGGATCGTCCGCTGAGGCATTGAAGACAGGAGGAGGAAGGGGTCCGTCATCGGCTCGCCGGGCTCCGCGCCACCTCTGCGATCTTGAGGAGAGAGGAACGGGTGGGTGGGCGTCTGGGAGGAGGGCTGCGGGGTGGTGGCGGGGAGACCGGGGTGGCGGGGGGTGGGGGGGAGGCGGGGACGGGAACGGGGCGGGGAGGGAGCGGGAAGATGGCAGAGTTACCAAGTGGGCGCCTGAGTCATAGCCCGGGGCGGCGTGACCCTCCGGGAAGCCCGCGGCCCGCGTGCAGCCGCGCAGCTCCGCTCGGCCGGCGCCCCCGAGGCTGGTGCGCGGCCGAATGGGGCGGCGGCGCCGGCGGCTGCAAGGACATCACACCCGCTCGGATCCTGGGGGTGGGGCGAGGGGGAGAGGGGCGAGGACCAGGCTGGGAGCCGTCGGGCCGAGGGGGCCAGAGGGCGCCGGGCAAATCCGGAGCTGGAGCCTCGTGCCAGCTAAAAAGGCGAGGGAGGAGGAGGGGCCAGCAAGTGAAAATCCCTCTCGGGGTTCACATGTTCACTTTTGAAAAACGCCTAGAAACTGCGATCGAGCTGTTCCCCGCGCCCCGCAGTCCATCTGGCTAGAGGAAGCGGGTCCCGTCTCCCTTCGTGGGTGACGACTTCGCCGTATACTCCGGGCTCAGGCTGCGAGACCAGGCAGGGGCGCGCCGGAGGCGAAGGCAACATTAAAAGTTTCGCGTTTTATCGCCTGGCCTGACGCGGAGGTCGCCCCAGACAAACCGCTCGGGCAGAGGCACGGGCTTCTAGCGCGTTTCCTTCGCCCTCCCCAAGATATTTTTTAAAACCCCTAAGGCAAACACCGATCACCTCCCACCCCACCCCAATATGGACAGACGCGCGCGCGCGCGCAGCGTGTTAAACTCGGAGAGGGGAGGGGGGAAAAAAGAGTTGCTGGGGAAACAACCCCGGAAAAAAAAAAAAAAAACAAACCCAGCTTCTAAAATGAGAATAAATGAATATGGAGAACCGTTAAACGCGAGGTGGCCCGAGCAGGGCTGGAGCGCGTGGAGGGGGGGGGTGTCCCTGCCTGGACGCTGCGGTACCCCCTTCCCACCCCCGGCTGCGTCCCGCCCTCCCGGCTCTGCGCACTCAACCCGCGCCCACCCTCCGCCGGCCGCACCTCGGGGCCCCGCGGAGGCCGTCAACCCCTGGGCCCCGCCTCGGCGACCCCGGACCCCAGCGCGCCAAGTCGCAGTCCCCCACTCCACCGCTGGGACTGGGAGTTGGCGGGGGGAGGGGGGGGTGACGGCGGGGAGGAGGCCGGCGTAGCAAGAATTCGAGGAGGTAGAAAGCTGAGGGGCGCTGCGCCGCCGAGACTAGGTCACCTTAAAAGGCAGAGAGGAAAGAGCCGTGCGCGCGGACCGGCGGCCGGGCCGCCCCCTCCCGGCACCTGCTGCTGCGGCGCCGGGCCGCCCACGGGCGTGCGCGCGCGCGGGGGACGCGGGATGCTCGCGGCCGCCCTGCCCTCAGGTTCCCAGCAAAGCAGCGGCGAGAGGGTGGAGGTCTTCCTGCCCGTAATCTGAGATAAGGGATAATGAAGTGACCCCGAGGCCGGAGAGGAGCCCCCAGCCCCGGAGGCAACCACCAAGACTCCTTCCTTCCCGCTTTTGGCTCTTTGATAGCGAGCAGCTGCAAGTCCTCGACGGTGGGGTAAAGTGATGACATAGGGCTGTGTGTGTGTGTTTCTGTCCATTTAGTGAAAAGTGGGTAGATGGGGTAGGGTGGGATGGAGAGCTAGAGCAATAGAAGCAGAACACCGGACTGGGTGAAAAGGGAATGGTGGAGGGAGAGAGAGAGAGACCTGGAGACAGAGACAAGAGAACTCAGAGGGAGACTGCGCGCCCGCCGAGCACCAACTCCATCAGAAGGCGTGCCTGTGAGAGGAGCTATGAGCTGGAGAGAAGAGCCTGGGTGAGCCAGGGTGAGCGGAGGGGTGGAGAGCCCGGAGAAGTATCTTGGAAAACTGGTGTGTATCTGCCCACGTTTCAGCTCTTAAAAGAAAAGGATCAAAGTGGGAGATAGTCAGCAGGTCCGCGTGCGGTTCTTTTTCCGGCGCGGGGTGTGTGCGTGCGTGTGTGTGTGTGTGCGCGTGCATGCGTGTGTGTGTGTGTGTGTGTGTGTGTGTTGGGGTGGGGGCTGAGTGGATGAGAGTGAAGTCAAGCAAGACTTGAGCAGTTAGTAGATGGTGAATAGATGCCAAAGAAAACAGGTCATCTATGGGCGAGGGAGGACCATTTAAAAATGGTCAAAGATGTAAGTTGATAGTAGAATGTTGACATGTTAAAGACTGGATGGTAATTATTTTTTGCATCCAAAAATATTATTTATGAAAGTGACTTTTGGGGAGAAAATCCTTTAATGAAACAGTGGCAACGTTAAAATTTTTCTTAAGGGAAATCTATGTCTCAACAGCAATTTAAGGTAAGAAGAAGAAAAGTTGGTCTTTGCTAAATCCATCCACTCAATTATGTCTAACTATTTCCCACCTCCATCCCCCCCGTTTGCTTTCCCGGGACAAGGGTCTTTGTAACTTAGCTAAAGAAGCAAGCACTGAAATACTGCTATACCAGTGTGAGGGCCTTGCGTTGGAAGGGGGTAACCAGGAAACTTGGAGAGGAGATCCAGAGGGCAAAGAGGAGGGGCACCCAAGCCTTTTTAAGTCCACATCATAATTCCTCCAGTTTCCTATTGGCCAGCATGTCTGTCTTTGGGATCAGATTCTCAGAAATAGGGGCCTCTTTGATGTCTGACTACCCCTGCCTTCTGGGCTGTGCCTGAGGCTGAAGCATTATTGTGGTTCAGTCTCTGTCGTGGTCAACTCTTTGCAACCCCAACGGGCTGTAGCAAACCGGGCTCTTCTGTCCTCCACTCCCTCCCATTTTACTCAGATTCATGTCCACTAAGTCAGTGCTGCTCTCTAACCCCTCATCCTCTGCTGCCGCCTTTTCCTCATGCCTTCGATCTTTCCCAGCATCAGAGTCTTTTCTAATGAGAAGAATGGTTGTACTTCTACGCAAACCTCAGTGTTGATGTTCTGAGCCTGCATATCCTGAACTGGGATAGAAGCTCCATGAGAGAGGCGCTCAGGTCCTCTCTTCACTCCCCAGGAGACTGAGTCAGGCAGATGCTAAGGCTTTTGCTCCACCCCCTGAATCCTTCCAGGTTATGGCTACAACTTTTCTCTTGAAGATTTCATTCATTTTCCTGCACACACCCATGCACAAGTCCTGTTAACCATCCACCACATCCTGCTTGCTTGGCAACCTGCCTTCTCCCTTTTGAGTCACGAACCACCACTTGCTGAGTCCACCTCACTGATGGGGACCCACGATTTTTTTTACTTTCTGAGAAAAAGCAGCATATGGGAAAAGTTTAGCTTCTCCAAGAGAAGGTTTTGCACACACATGGCCAGTTTTCAAGATGTGATGATTTTGAAAGAGAAAGCTTATAAACAGATAGCTTTGATAAGTTCAATGTACTGTCCTAGAAAGAGGGGGCTTTGTCACAGTTCTCCAAAGTTAGCATTGAAATAGGGACTATTTATAGGATAGAAGGCAGAAATACTGCCTTTTGAGCCCAATCAAAGTGTCATTGGTTTCCTTTTAACAGTGCACCCTGTAACAATGAATGATAAAAATGAATTCTAAAACCCTGAAAAGAATTGGGGGTTTCCATGGTGGCTTAGTGTTAAAGAGTCCACCTGCCAATGCAGAAGACAATGGTTCAACCTGTGGGTCAGGAAGATCCCCTGGAGAAAAAATTACCGCCCACCCCAGTATTCTTGTCTGGAGAATCCCTTGGACAGAGGAACCTGGCTGGCTGCAGTCCACAGGGTCGCAGATGGGTTGGACACGACTTAGTAACTAAACAACAACAACAACAAAAATTGATGTAGGACACTTGCTCTTCTGATTCAAAAGAAAGTAGTTATCTGCATACATGTGGTTCTCTATAGAAACTAATAAAGCTCCAGGTCTACTAGGAATCTTTTGTTAATTCATCTGAACTATTGGCATCTTCTTCAAGGTTTTTTTTTTTTTTTAATGGCTAAAATAGGTGGTGTTACCAAAAAAAATGACTATAATCAATAGTGCTTCCAATACATTCTGTATTAGTCTCTTGAAAATCCCCTAACATATTTTAAAGTTCTGTTTCTTCCATCTTATTAACTCAATATACAAGTCATAATGTCAATTTATAAAAAACAGGTCATAAATAATTGCTGCCAGACAGTGGAATTTTTTTAAATGATCTGCAGTATTCTAGTATGAAACTGAGTTTAAGCAGTATTGATAAAGTCATTTCTTTTCAATCTATAAATGTATCCTGACAGGTAGAAAATCTGCATAAAAC